CCTAAAATTAGCCAGAATATAACAGAATTCTCACTACAATACTTCATGAAGTATACTGGTAATGTGATTTTAAACTCTTGGTCTATGAATTAAGCCTATTTTGGAGGCTTGGCACAATATTATCAAGAAATTTAAACAGGAAGCTCAAGTCCAGATGTATAACTAAATATATATTTTTTAAAAATCACCAACTTAAACTATAACTGTCTTTCACTAAATATTACCGCTCCAAAATTCACACACACTAAATTAAAACAGGTACGGCAGAAAGTGCACTCTGAAGCATGTTCACATTTACAAAGATAAATGATGAGGTTTAGCCAGCAGAAAGTCAAACAGGCATATAAGCAAACATCTGTATGCAAATTTTCACGAGTAAGATATAAGAAATGATTTGTTTCGGTAATTTTATGTACAGCCTGTATACAACTTAAAACAAGTACAACTGAAAACATTTCTAAAGCCACAATAAAGTCAAATGATATACTAAATAACAGTCTTACAAATTGGTCTCTCTCAGGAGTTCTTAAGAGAAAGAAAACTGAGTAATGTTACTCTAAGAAATGCCCTCTTCTTGATCAATCATTTCTGTTTTAACTGAAAAGACATCTGCCAGCATGTGTTTTGGAATTTCTGAACCTCTGACTTTCAAGGCGTAACAAGCATTCTCCACTTTGGCCAGACTTTGTTTCAAGGTATACAGCTTCTTAGAAACCTCATAAGGTCCAGTATTGCCAATGAATGAAAACCCATCATAAACCTGACGTAAAAACTGGCTCACTTCAAAGGGGGTGTCAATGTCCCCATTCCCGACACTGTTAATACACATTCGCATCAACTCTCCAGTTAAATCAGCCACTCCCAGAAGGTAATCAACAGGCGTGATTTTCAGTCTCCAGGTACCGCATTGCTTATCCTGTGCATCAGAAGAGGGCTGGTAAAAAACAAAAAAAAAAAACAAAAAAATAAAAACAAAAAAAAAAGAACACACACACACAAAGAAAATACACTGTGTAAAAGAGTGACTATGCATGTATCTCATATAAGGAACAAAATCAACAGCAGGCCAATCATACTAATCTTCTCTAAATAAAATGATCCGTTTTGTTAAAGGACCATTTGAGACATTACAAGACGAATTCATGCCCTCAGTAGGGAGTTGAACTTATGACTTCAAGATATTTTTGACATCTAATATTGTATCATTATAAAATCAACCATTTCCAATTTCACTTGACATACAAGATAAAATCAAAACATTCTTAAACAAGGCCTACTGACTTTACTGCAAGACAATGACTGACTTACTTAAACGACAAATCATAAAGCCCTCCAGGTTCAGGATCCAGTCATGTTTTCCTCAATCACTTAGTCCCTTTCTGGCCTCTCTCCTGTCCCCCTCGGCACTAGCCATCAGGATTTATTACTCTCTCGCTACACCCGCCTCAGTTCCTTTAGGCTCCTATTTTTCTACTGCACCTGCCCAGCAAAAACACAACCCTAAATCAGTAATAAAAATCTACTCTTGACAGTGCTTTATTCAAGTGGCTGAGTACCACTGGGCTAAAAAATGATAACACTCACAACTGTATAGCGTTTGTACCACTACAAATTACTCACCAGTCCTTTTGCTTATTTCTTAGATGGTTGTCTCCAGTCTCTTCAAACACTACTCCAAACCTTCACCACTCTCCTCCTCAGCCCTTACTCAATCCCAAACCTCTTCACTCTCAGTAAACAACCTTGCCTACTTTCACTGGCCTCGTTATCTGCCAGACCACCTGGCACAAGCTCTCTCAATTACCTTATCCCTAAAAAAAAAAAACAAAAAAACTTATTTATGTCCACATCCATCTTTACCTTCTATCCTCCAGTCTCAGATGATGAGTTGTCCCTCCTCTTGTTTGAGGTTAACTCTTCCAAATGACCTTGACCCATCTCCTCCCACCTCTTCCAGGACCTTGCTTCATAAGGTGTATGCCCTTGGGCAAGTTATTTCATCTCTCTAAACCTCAGTTTCCTCATCTGTAAAATGGGATAACAGTACCTACCTCAGAGGTTTATTTTAAGGATGAGATAACATTTACCAAGTTCTTGGCATAATGCCCAACACAAAGTAAATACTCAATAAATGTTAGCTGGTATCACCATTACCATCACTATGTCAGTTTCCTCTCTCCACATCAATTTCTCTCTCTACTGGATTCTGTCTAAAAGAGGCAATGTCTAAATTGTTATTAAAAGTCTGTATGAGACTTAGCTAGGTGGGGTGCAATTATATTGGAGGACATTTTAGGCAGAGGGAACTGCAAAGGCGTGCAGGTGAGAATCGAGCTGTATATTTGAGGAACTAGTGAGGTATTTCTTTGGAGTAAAATTTAAAGTAAGAAGTGGTACAGGATGAGTCTAGAAAGATAGAGCGAGGGGACAAAGTCACATTAAGAAATGAGAACTTTACCTATAGGTAACAGAGTCGTTGAGAATTAAGCAAGGAAATGACAGAGTCAAATTTAGGTTTTATTAAGATGACTCTGGTTGCTCTGTATCCAATATATAAATCCTAGCACTGCTGGACTCTTCAGAGACCATCTGTTCCAACCTTCTCAATGTAGAGTATAAGAATGAGGTCCAAGAAACACTGTAGGTAATATAACTAGTTAATGGTAGAACTGGGTAAGTATACAAAGTCAGCTTCCCAATTATCCTGACATAATTCCCAATTATCCTGACCTGCTATGTGTTGTTTCTATTAACTGTTAAGAGAACTGGCATCTTTTTGGAAAGGACAGACTGTGGGTGGTGAGGGTAGAGGAGGGGGGGAGGTGGCGGGCATTTTCATAAAGTCATTTATAAAAGTAACTTTTGCTTAAGAAAACATTAATGTTCTTTGTTTCTCTCATTAGACAGAAGGAGTTCCCTGATTATAAACTAAGAAGTTGATTTTGAAGAAAAAAGTGTGTTAAAAAACGAACAAATTTCAACTAATTGTCAAGGAAATAAATTCTGCTTTACCGATAATACATATTAGAAACTAGGGAAAAGAAAATTACTTAAAAAGCAGTTTTTCAAGATGGACCTGAAGTATTTAGGGGTAAAACATCGTGACATCCATAACTTAAAGCAGTTTAGCAAAAAACATTTAGATGAAGCAAATACGGCAAAATGTTCATTACTGAATCCAGGTAGTGGGTATATGGATGTTCATGTGCTACTATTCTCTCCACTTTTTCGTGTATTTGAAATTTTTCATAATAAAAAGTTTAAAAAAAATTAAATGGTTTTGACACTACTCTCAATAGGCATGTCAGAGCAAAATACCTTCCCCTACTGAATTTCCAGAATTTTCAGCACCAAGAACAAACTTTAGCACTAAAGGGAAAAATTATTTATGAATGTGGTCCTCACATTTTGAGAACTATATGTATATGAATATTATGACACCTTAATCTTACAATAATTTACTACCTAAATCCTCAGAATAGTGTTTTAACTCTCAGCTTCTCTACCTTTTGCCTTTATATTTCCATTCTGAACTAGAGAGAACTTTGAAAGGGAGGCATGGTAATTTGCCTGATATATTTAAGAAGCAGGGTCGAGATTCCCTGGTGGAGCAGAGGTTGAGGGTCTGCCTGCCAATGCAGGGGACATGGGTTCGTGCCCCGGTCCGGGAAGATCCCACATGCCGCGGAGTGGCTGGGCCCATGAGCCATGGCCGCTGGGCCTGCACATCCGGAGAGGCCACAACAGTGAAAGGTCCGCATACCACAAAAAAAAAAAAAAAAAAAAAAAAAGAAGCAGGGTCAAACAGGCTTACCTTACTTCTTTCCGTAATTCAATCTTTACTAAATAAATAAAAGGTATGAAGGAATTTTACTTCTCAAGATGAATTTCCTCCTTAATAAACTTCACATGATTTTTAAAATTGAGACAATACATGGTTTCCTTGAAGTAAGTTATATCTGTCATGCCAAATTATATCTCACTTTTCAAAATTAATGTTTTATTAACATTCAAGAAAAGATGATTTCCATAGCTTCTTCCACTTTCTGCCTGCCTATCCTAACTCTTTGAGTGATTTTTAAAAAAATAATAATGAAAGAAAAACTGATGAAAAATAAAGAAAGGAAAAAAACTGTTTAATTGTATCTTTATGTGTACTGGTATCTCAGGAGGTTACCAAATAGTCAAAATTTTACCTCATGGCCTGAATACTGTATCTTGAAACCCAGGGGAAAAAATAGTATTTATTTAAAAGCTGAACTGCCAAAGTTTCTCTTTTCTTAATTTAGAGAAGCTATGTAATATTTCAGATAAAAGCATTATGAACTCAGTAATTAATATCTCTCACTATGTAATAACAACTTGATATTGACACTGATAATGACAACTAACTACTGAGCACTTATGTGGCATGTGCTGTATACTACCTAATTTAAAACCTTTAAATCAAATCCTTTAAAACACTCCTTTGAGGCAGACACCTGACACAGGGGTCCCTGGGGCACATGGTGAGAAACACCGGCAGCGTGGACAAGGACACTCATGACTCTGGATGCGAGACACCTGGTTTCAAAGTTACCTGTCATGCTTACTAGCTAACTAGGTTTTGGTAAGTTACTTAAACTCCCTAAAGGCCTTTTTTGAAAAATGAGGGTAATAATTCTTACCGCATAAGGTTAAAAAAAGGATTAAATGAGACAGTGCTTATAAAGGGCACATAGTAAAATACACCATAAAACCAAAGGTGGACTTAACGTAATTACTCAATAATGCTTTATGTAAAGAGTAATGTTTTCCCCCAACATACCCACGGTTGTTTGAGCCACTAACTAAAATATTTAAAAAGACCATTTCCCTAGTTGGGAATCTATGAAATCACACTGTAGAAAGAACCTTCCCATCTCAATATTCTTAGCATCATAAGCCAATAAACCGCCTACAATCATTATACTGTTACATAAATTATGTAATAAATGTGAAATATGATTTTAAATTCTTACAGTCTTATTTTCTTTCCCATTGTCTTCTGTTGAAAAAATCAATTGTTTATTAATTTCATCCATACTGATAAGTGATCGTGTTTTGATGAAGTGTTGAAAAGAGACAGCCTCCACATATTCCTGCAGTCCTGAAAAACCAACCAAGAAATTACTAAGGAACAACCACTGAATTAATAATAAGGAAGTCATAATAAAGAACTTCAAACTAATCATCACCTAGCTCAACAAAAGCTTAATGGGTGCCTCCTATGAATATCAGTCCTAGATTCAGGTCTTAGAAAGAACACAAGGGACCACCTGGGAATAGATGGTGGGGACTACACTGAACACGCAAACACTTCTGTGGCTGAACTTTAGACAGCTCAAGTACAAAGGTGTTCAATTTCTTCTTCGTGCTTCATGAGCCCATTTGTCTTAAAAATCTACTCTTTCCGACGAGAAATGGCAAAGATTTTCAGAGAAATTTTTTTTTTTTTTTTTTGCGGTACGCGGGCCTCTCACTGCTGTGGCCTCTCCCGCTGCGGAGCACAGGTTCCGGACGCGCAGGCCCAGCGGCCATGGCTCACGGGCCCAGCTGCTCTGCGGCATGTGGGATCCTGCCGGACCGGGGCACGAACCCGCATCCCCTGCATCGGCAGGCGGACCCTCAACCACTGCGCCACCAGGGAAGCCCCAGAGAAATATTTTTTGAAGAATTTAAGAAAGGGCTATTACAAAAATTCTGATAGGCTTTAGAAGAAACTACACAGATTATTTTTTGCTCCCTTCAGCAGCAAAATAGACAATGATTCAATCAAATGAGACAAAATTAAAGATCATTTGGCTCTTTCCTAAAATTTTAATAGGTAAAAAAACACAGTAAATAATGCAGACTAAAGTGTCAAAATTCAGAATACTGTTTTCCTCATACTTCAAAATCAATCCTTTCTGCTTCAGTAGTTTACGTTTAAAAAAAAAAAAAGCTAATGAGTAATACCAGATGTACCAGATGTAAATTCTACAGAGTCCTCACTGAATTAAAAATACATCTTGGTGGGCTTCCCTGGTGGCACAGTGGTTGAGAGTCCGCCTACTGATGCAGGGGACACAGGTTCGTGCCCCTGTCCAGGAGGATCCCGCATGCTGCGGAGCGGCTGGGCCCGTGAGCCACGGCCGCTGAGCCCGCATGTCCGGAGCCTGTGCCCCGCAACGAGAGAGGACACAACAAAAAGAGGAAGGCCGGAGAAGGGGGGAAAAAAAAAAAAAAAAAAAAAGCTCAGTAAAGGTTGAAAATAGTACTATAAATACTTTTTCAAGTGTTTTAAAACAACCAAATTTTATCGTCACAATTTTCAGCATTACTTTATTATGTCTTAATCTATAAGGTAATACACACAGGGAAAAAGTATTTCTCTCAAAATGATTATCATTACTGTCAGGTTAAGAAACTCAGTCTTCTTTTTAAAGGCATTATTGTAAAAACAGGAAGAGGGGAACAAATTCAGAAAGAAAACTCAGAACTTGGTAGGGTCATCAGTATTCAAGTTCTCTCTCTAACACTTCTCCTGACAGAGTCCTGCACTCACAGAGCCTCCCAGAAGCTGACACTAAAAGTCAGGCCTGGCAGCAACAGTGTTGAGAAGGCTGGCCACTGTGGTATTGTCACAAATGCCACACTAGGGTCAAAGACACAAAAGGAAATGCATGACCTGGTTTTTATAGCAATAAGAGGAAACAACTAAATGAAAATACCCTGACTCATTTTGAGCAGCAAATGATGCTAAAGTAAGGTTAGAAAATAAGTGTCTCCTGCTGACAGAGTAAGACATGATAGGACACTTTGCTTAATAAACCTAACATGCTGAGAAATGAAACAGTAAAGTTGAGTTTAACAAAACAGATAACACCCCTTAACATTTACAATTAAATTTCTGTAACATTTTAGTTTTATGAATAGGTTCATAAAACCCAGTTCCCTTCCCTAACGACAATCTGTATTTCTCATTTCCTTCCAGAAATACTTCAGGCATACAAAAGCAAACAGCAACACTTAAGAACCACTCATCACATCTCTAAATATGCTCTAACGTGACTGGCTCTTAAGAATGAGAGCTAAAGACGAAGATATGCAGAAAGATTTATGGACAAGGATATTCATCATCACAATCACTACAACAACAAAAACTGAAAAAACCTGAAAGGTCAATAACAGAAGTGCCACTCGTCAACGTACTGTCCCTCAGCTCCATCAGTGCAGATAATGGAGGTGGACCCTAACACGCTTCTCTTTTGCCAGCTGGCACATTAGTGAGCTTTGCTGGTAGAGGGCCCTGGAAGGACAGCAAAGGAGGGAAAGCTCTCTTCCGGGTTCTGGTGTGCCCGTCTTTGGCAGCCTTCTAAGCGTGGGGAACCTGCAGCTCCAGGTGGGCAGCAGCACGAGGCCCCTCTTTGGGGGCAGATTCCCTTTGTGACCCAGAGAGCATCTCCCAGGGAGCCACCTCCCTGGGCAAGGAGTCTCCCGGCCCAGCACCTCCCCACGGACAGCTTCCCAGTGATGCATCAGCACGACATTTCAGCCATCCAATGGCCCACGACTTCAGGGGGGGAGGGAGGGGCGACTCCTCGAGATGTGTTTCTGCCTCTGCCCTGGGGTAGTGGATGCCTCCTGTCTGATACTCCTGTACTCTTCAGAGTTCATGTTTCCTCTTATAAGGCAGTCCCCTACACAGTTAATTCGTTATATTAAACTTTCTCTGTTCAAATCACTATGCAGGACACTGATGAATACAACAGGGACTTAGGAAAATACATAATGGTATCGTATCCCCTTCACCCCTATTACCATGGACGAGGTGTTCCATCCTTTGAGGCCAGCCAGCAAGCCTAGCCTCAGAATCAAGATACAATCCCAGCAGGAACCTTAACGTGGATTCTCCCTTCCACATATGAGGTTTTCCACCTGATGTCCCCTACTGGACGCTATCAGCATCGACTCTCTCAGATCTCTTCCATCCACTGGCCCTACCTTCCTCACACCTACTGCCCCAACTCTCTCCTCGCCTTCAGTTAAATTTCAGTAAGCTCACCTCACACTTCTCAGCCTACTTCCTTCTAGCCTGAATGCATCTCTACACCAAAACAGCTTTCACTTCAAGTTATCATAGTTGATGAGTCTAATGGACATTTTTTCAGTCTTAACTGTAGCAGCGTTCAGCATTTTGACCCCTTTTTCCCTTCTTTAAACAAACTCCCCTTTGGTTCCTTTGAATGGCATCATCTCCTAGTTCCCCTTTTTTCTAACTCTCTGGCCATGTCTTCTTAGTCTCTGCCTCAATTAATCCCAGGCTCTCAAATTTACCTATACTTGGCTTCAATCCCTCAACTTTACATCTCTGGCTTCGAGTCACACGTATCCAAATGCGTGTTTGACAATCCCATCAGAGGACCTCAAGACCAACATGTCCCACAAGGCGTTCACAATCTTCCTTCCCAGCCTAGCCCTCTTCGTTTTGCCAGTTCTAACAGCCTCCTGCCCGCCCTTCCTTCCATCCATTTTCTTCCCTCTTCTTATCCACTCTCACACCACAGACTGTTTGCCTTTTTAATAACTATGACCACGTCACTCCCCCACTTAAAGCCTCAACAGCTTTCCATGGCTCTCCGAATACGGAGCAAAACCATTAACGTGGTTTATAAACACCTGCTTAATTTCACCCTCCACCAACCATCATCAGCCTCAACTCACGCTATGGTCAAGTTATAACTCACGTAGTAATACATTTCAAAGGTGGGTATGTAAACCCATATAAATATCCTTTAAATTAACAACAGTACAAGGCTTGTATGTACTGTATAATATGAATTTTCCTACAGTTAATATAAAACACTACTTCTTCAATATTTCTAGGCATAATCCTGCCCCCAAGTTCCTACAGTTGGCTTACACTTCATAGCCACGTCGAGCAAAAATAGTAGTGTTTTAAATGCTGGAATCAAATACAAGTATCAAGGTTCTTGTCATACATGTGGTAATTGATGGGGGAGAGAGCATAAAAACTAAGGTTCTATCAGTTGAAGGTGGTGCACACAAGCTTTCCCAGGGCTTCATGGTGAGGCTCGATGATTTCATCATGTGAACATTAATTATCAAGATTAATGGGTATAAGCCAGTGTACCCACAGATGGAGGATGGCCGTATCTATATACCTATAATCTCAAGCTGATTTGACAGACAAAGTGCAAATTCCAGTGTGTAGTTCAAGGCAGAAGAAATCAGTCAGAAGTGAGGGTATCACTTAAACTGAACCCGTCTCTCATCTATTCTCTCATGGTAACACTATGTGTGGCGGTCCATTTGGCTAGCTATGGTGCCCAGCTGTTCTGTCAAACACCTGTCTAAATGTGGCTGTGGAAGGATTTTCTAGACTGATTAACACTTAAATCAACAGACTCAGAGTAAAGCGGATGACCCTCCATAATGGGGTGGGGCGGGGAGAGACACTCATCCCATCAACTGAAGGCCTTAAGAACAAAGAATGAGGCTTCCCAACCAAGCAACCGGTTGGGAAAACTGCCACAAAGACACCCTGCCTGAGCCTCCAGCCTGCAGACTTCAGACTCAAGACTGCAACATCAACTCTTCCATGAAATTCCAGCCTGCTGGCCTGCTCTACACATCTCATACTTCCTAGCCCCCAAATCATGTGAGCCAATTCCTTCAAATAAGTTACTTCCTACCTATCCCACTCCCTCCCCCACCCCCATGACTCCTGTTGGTTCGGTTTCTCTGGAGAACCCTGACGTCAAACAGTGGAACGGCATGTCTCGTGAGGCAGAGTGCTCACATAACCTAAGTGCGCATACAACGCACACACCTGTCTCCTCTCCTTGACTCTCCGTGCTTTCCCTTTTTCATTCCACACGTACACTGCGCCTTCTCTGATTTCAAGGGGTTTCGTTTGCTGGCCCTCAGCCTTCCCTCCATGCCCTCCTCCCTCTTTCACCTGATTAATTACTACTAATCCTTTCATGTTCCATCAAACAGAACCTTTGAAGAAACTGTCTGACACCATCCCATTCTAAGTCAAGCCCTTATTATATGTTTTCCTAGTACCATGTACCTTTACTCTGAGGCACTAATCAAAGTTGT